GTTGATTTTGGGTTGGGGGGGTGGTTTTCCCTGGGGCCCATGTCGCGATATTTTCTGAGCCCCCCCCGACTCTGCGCTATTTTGGGCTGATTTTTTGGGGATTTTTTTTGGATTTTTTTGGGATTTGGGGCCCCGGAAAGGTTCCAACCCCATTTAGGACAGTTTTTATATCGCGATATTCCCCCTTTAGTCGCGATATTTTCTGAGTTTCCCCCCTAACCCTGCGCTATTTCGAGCTGATTTTTTGGGGTTTTTTGGGGGGATTTTTTGGGGGATTTTTTTGGGATTTGGGGCCCCGGGAAGGGTCAAACCCCATTTAGAACAGTTTTTATATCACGATATTCCCCTTTTAGTCGCGATATTTTCTGAGCCCCCTCTAACTCTGCGCTATTTCGGGCTGATTTTTTCGGATTTTTTTTGGATTTTTTGGGGATTTGGGGGATATTTTGAGATATTTTTTTGGGATTTGGGGCCCCGGGAAGGGTCAAACTCCATTTAGAACAGTTTTTATATCGCGATATTCTCCCTTTAGTCGCGATATTTTCTGAGGCTCCCCTGACTCTGCGCTATTTCGGGCTGATTTTTTCGGATTTTTTTGGGGGATTTTTTGGGATTTTTTTGGGATTTGGGGCCCCGGGAAGGGTCAAACCCCATTTATGACAGTTTTTATATCACGATATTCCCCTTTTAGTCGCGATGCCGGTCGCCCGGAGTTGGGTTTGTCGCAAAACCTACGTGACCCCGCGGCGCCCCTTCGAGAAATCGCGCTTGGACCAGGAGCTCAAACTCATCGGTAAAATAAAAAATAATAAAAAAAAATATTAAATTTTTTTTTTTTTGGCGAATTTGGAATTTTAAAAATATCGCGATATTTATATTTTAGGAGAGTATGGGCTGAGGAACAAGCGCGAGGTGTGGAGAGTGAAGTTCACTTTGGCCAAAATCCGCAAAGCRGCGCGGGAGCTGCTCACGCTCGACGAGAAGGACCCGCGGCGCCTCTTTGAGGGTGAGGATTTGGGGTTAAAAACCCCCTTTTTGGTGCCTTTTTTCTTTTTCTTTTTTGTTTCCTAAATTTTCTGTTTTATTTATGTTTTTTTACTTTTAATTCTGATTTTTTCCCTTTTATTTCT